TTGCGCTGCGGAGCGACTTCGCTCACGCAGCGCCTCTAGTCACGTGTCGGTGGGGCTGGTGGCGCCCCCCCGTGGCGGCAGCGGGCGCGCGCGGGCGCGGTCGTACCACACCGGGTGAGACCCTCGGTTACCCGAGGGAAGCCCAGCGAGGCAGACCAGCGGACGAATCCTCTGCGCGCTCCGAGACGCCGACGGGACGGGGCCAGCCCTTTTGTCTTGAATGTTGATGTTATGTGTTATAGAGAATCATCCGATTCCGCGCGGACCAGCTCGCGCGGGAAGGCTCGCCTGTGGTCTGGAGGTCGTGTATGGTGCGGGGCGAGGCGCTGAAGGTGCTGGAAGCCGGAGGCGTCCGCACGCTCGAACATGCGCCTCGCCAGCTCGCCGATAAACTCATCCAGACCCTGCTGTCTCAAGTCTCTCGTAATAGTCGCGTTTCTCACGTAACGCGGCGCGTCGACGATACGTCGCAGGGTGGTGCTCTGCACGGCGCGTAACCGACGCCGATGCGTCTCGGCCGCGAGAGCATACCACGCGGGCGCCGCGTACGTGAGATGTGGTCTGATGTAGGCCTTGTATAAGGCCAGTTTGTGTCTTAATGGGAGGCTCGACTGAAGCACCGGGCGCAGTCTGGCGGCGGCCGCCTTTGCGCGGCCTGCGGCTGCGGCGACGTGCGGGCGCATCGTGAGGCCTCGGTCCAGCGTGATGCCCAAGTAGGTGACTTGGGGGCGCCACTGAACCTCGGCCCCTTGCAGGGTAAGCGGCGGCGGGAGTTTTCTCCCCTGGCCGAAGACGATGGCCTGCGTCATGGCGGCGTTGGCGGTGAGGCGCCGCTCTGCCAGCCAGACTGGGAGGGCGTCCAGCGACCTCTGTAGTTTGGAGGCTGCGTGGCGTGCGTTGAGTGATGAGGCGGTGTAGGCGGTGTCGTCCGCATACAGCGCCACCGCACACCCCGCAGCAACTGGGACGTCATTGGTATAAATTGAATATAGGTCAGGAGAGAGGCAGCTTCCTTGAGGGACCCCCGCGGCGATCGGCCGGCAGCTCGACTTGACCCCCTCGACGGAGACGTAGAAACGCCGGTCGGAGAGGAAGGAGCTGATGATCGCCACCACGCGCCGCGGGAAGTCAGAGCTGAGGAGCCTGTGCACCAGCCCCGCGTGCCAGACTCGGTCGAAAGCCTTCTCCATGTCGAGGAATACCGCCGCCGCCACCTCCTTCTTGTTTAAGGCGAAGACGACGTCGTGCAGTACCCTCGACAGCTGAAGAGTCGTGGAATGCTTGCTCCGGAATCCGAACTGTTCGGGCCTGGGAGTAAAGTGCCGCCTGATGGTCGGCAGCAGCATGGCCTCGAACAGCTTGGATTGCGTAGCTAGTAGGGAGATGGGGCGATAGCTCGCCGGGTCCATAATATTTTTGCCCTTTTTGGGCAGCATGATGACCTTGGCCTCTTTCCATGGCTCGGGGAAGTGCCCGGTCCGGAGGATCGCATTAAATAGACGCATGAGCGTCACCACCGCACGATGGGGCAGGTGACGCAGAGCTGCGTTTGCGATACCGTCCGGGCCGGGAGCCTTCTTGGGCTTGAGCCGCGCTGCTTGTCGCTTGACGGCGCTCGGCGAGACGAACAGCACCTCTTCGTCTGCCGGCGGAGGGGCGCCTAGCTGCTCGACGACGGCGTTCTCGACCTCTAACGCGCGTGCTGGGTCCGCCGCGGGGTTAGGGAGAACTGCCGCTGAAGGTGGTCTGCGAACAGCTCGGCGCGCGCCTCGGCGTCGTAGCGCAGCGTTCCGTCCGGGTGTCTCAGCGGGCGGATCGGGTCGGCTGCGCCATTGAGGCGATATAAATATATTAATAAATTAATAAACTTCTTATATCTTTCAGCGAAATACAATGATACTGACTTTTAAATTCGTAAAGCGCCATCTCTGTTGAGTGGTGGATAATATTAATCTCCGCACTTGTGGACAATGGTGCCCTGATAATATACGAGCGGCCATATAAAAGTTCAAACAATTTGTATGACAATACTTGGCGATTAAAAAGAGTGGCGGAAAGTTGAGATGCAGCGGAGTTTAGGTACCTAAAGTCAATAGCATATTTTCGTACGTATTTAAAAATTTATTTAAGTATTCAGCTGAAAATGTCTTGGCTTTCTTCCCTTTATATCCTTGTGATTTACGTTTCAGAATTTCATGATTATATATTATTGGTTATATTGGTATTATCAATTTCGTTGTAAATACTCAGTGTACTTTTAATCATAGAACATTTAGACCATAAGGACGAACACTTAAAGTTATCCAGTAACTTTTAAAAGTAGGCTAACTTAATGTTTTGGAAATATGAGTTAGCCTCTTTCTTCATTTTCAAAATATTATTCAAATTCGTATACAGTACGAAATAGCGCCAAAATGAAAAAAGTCTGTTATTGGTCTATTGGCTCGGAACAAGCGCGTTGCGCGCGCAGCGCGACATGTAATATTATGTGAAACCTTCTTGGTCGGGACACATTGTACTTTAATAATTAAAAAATTGTTTAAAAGCATTTTTTTGTTAGGAGAATAATGCTTTAATTTAATTTTTTAATTTTCTTAAAGAAGTATGTAAATATAATATGCCAATAAAATTCTGTATTTCATTTCATAAGAAGAATATTACCGAATGAGATTACATAAACTTGTTTAATATATTATTCACTATGGAAATAAAGAGGCTATAATAATAATAACAATAATCGTGGCACCGCTGTTCATAACAGTATCCACCTCTGACCAGAGATGTCGCCACATGTAATGTGAAACGCGCTTACAAGATATCGTCGCTAAAAGATATAACAAAACTATTATTAAATAAGGAACATACTATATACACTATTTACGAGAAATTTTTGGGCTGATCTATTCGCTATGCGATTTAATCAGTTATAATGATTAGTGATTACTATATATATTACTATATATATATTACTATATCACTTTATAAAACCGAGTGAAGTTTGGCGATTGTTGAAGGGATGTTCAAATAAATGTCTAAATGAAACAGTTTATTTGAAGCTAGCCGCTAGGCCAAGGTGTCAACTGTCTTTATTCATAAAAAAAGTGTACGCACGCACTTAGTACACATGGCAGAAGTGAAACTTCTTTGGCTAATTTTTAAGTCTTGTTCATATTTATACTAATCTAAAACTTTAGATTTCCGAGACTTAGAGGGAGGGAAAAAGGAAGATATGTTAGGAATTTAATTGTCATTAAAATATTAACTTCTTTCCACTTCCAGTCCTTATAATATGGAAAAACTGTCGAAAGTGTTCGAGGCCACATTTTTTTGTATGATTTGGGCAATCCTCAATAGAAAAATGCGAGCTTAAAATCAGCTATTTGGGAATCAATAGGAATGGAGCTCAGTGAAAGTGGTAAGTGACATTACATTACATAATATTAAAATTATATTATTTATTTATTTATTTATTCAGAAGATTTAACATTAACACACTATTTGCTACCTTCAAAGACGCATTTGCTACCTCTGCATTAAAGAACATAATAAAGAAATAATGGTCTGGTCAGACAGCCATTCTGACGTCAGGTTGGCTGACCACTATTAGTTAATTGGGTTCTAAGAATCTTTGAGTGATGGCGTTTTTATACACATTTACTACCTATTTTCTACCTGAGCAAACCAACTTTAAAATAAGTCTCAGAAGCCTATAATTTTTTTTATTATTAATATAGCCATGAGGGGTCTAAAAACGCCTACAAAAAAGGTAAAGGTTTCTGGCCACTTTATTTCTTTATTATGTTCTTTAATGCAGAGTTAGCAAATGCGTCTTTGGAGGTAGCAAATAGAATCAAATAGGTAGAGAAATATGGCGTATAGTTTGATTGCGATATAAAATTTGGTCAGCCAACCTGACGGTCACCAAAGCTTTCCACTATTGTTAATTTTTATTGGCAATAAAGCTGTTCTTTAACACTATTTGTAATTTATTATATTATTATTAAAATAAGTAACAAACATTTCTCGGACTACAAATGCGGCGTTTGGAGATCGCTGATTTGTAGATCTTATTGAAGTGAACGCTCTTGACATGTCCGATGATTCCAAGGGTGTTTCATTGGGCTCAAAATAAAAAGACTCTCCCTTCACTCTTATGCAGTTATTGTCTTTGACAATATCAACAATATCAACCTCACTTTCTATAGGTCTATGAAAGATCCGGTATTTTCGTGCCAAAATACCAAAACTGTTTTTAACAACTCGTCTGGCTCGACAATGTCGATAGTTGAAAGTTTTCTTTCTGTTGTCGTGTATAACCGCTGCTCTAGGAAAAGGCCGCATTAAATATTCTTTCAAAGCAAAACCTTCATCTCCGATTAACACTTGAGGTGTAGTGTCTTCATTTCCAGGAAGAGGTTTTGGGGGTAACAGTGATTTGCCATTTAGGTATACTCGATAAAAGATAGAATTTTCGAAGATTCCGCTATCGCTCAATCGTCCATAGTTTCCGATATCAGCAGTGATGAATTTATAAAATGGATCCACAATCGCAAGCAAAACGATGGAGAAAAAGTGTTTATGGCAAAAATAGTTCGAACCGCTGTTAGGAGGGCATTTAATGTTTTCCGTCAATACTTCCCACACAATTGGGAAAGTTCCATATTTCTCTGTCACCAACTTCCGACGGCCTACACATCTCTTCTGTCAGTGTTGGCATATACTTCGGTTATAGTACGTTCCATATTTCTGTGCAAACACTCTTCATAATATCACCTACCGTACTGCGTAAAACGCGAAAAGAAAAAGCAATGGTTTGATAGGAGTCACCGGTGAATAAATACCTGAAAAAATATAAAATATGATTTAAATTAAAAATAAGATTCATAACATATGGTATATCCATGCGATAAATCAAATAATCAGCGATAAAAGTTGTATTGTTTACATAAACTTTCTTGCTATAGGTGAAGCCGTGAGGAGTAAATGGAAGACTGGTAGAGATGGCTACACCAAATATAAAAAAACAGCTTAGAACTTCAACAGGTTCTAGCAGAAAAAATATCAGTTATGCGTGGGCATTACAGCTTGCGTTCCTAGACAGTTTTAATGTGCCACGAGCGTCTTTTTCGAACGTCTCATTAGATTCTACACAGCTTTCTCCACGAACTCAAATACCTGCACTAGATTCTAAAAATTCACAAGATATGACATCACAATATAATCCACCACGACTACCATCATCATTGTCATCATCACAGGTTCAACCATTAGCTCAGGCCCTGCCTCCAGAATCGCCAGCTAATACACTTACGGCATCAACATTAAGAGTTTCATATCGCAATAAAAGACAATCATCAGAGATCAGAAGGAATGAAGATGATGTTGGGAGAGTGTAAGAATTTTTAAATGCAAAAAAGAAAAAAGAGCATAATGTTATCGATCATCTATTTCTAAGTTACGCTGACACTTTCAAAAAAATTTCCCCGCGAGGGCAAGCTATCGTAAAATTGGAATTAGCCAAATTGTTTTCGAACACCGAATTACAATTGATCAGCAAAAATTCTAACGAATCGCACCTCCAGTATTCTTCGATCATATCAGCTACAAACTCCAGTGTGAGTTATGATGAAAACCATACAATACAAAAATTCAAACTATCACCTTATCCTCTGCGTTTTAACTAGTAAAATTTAATTTAATTTCACCACCGTGAAAAAAACGTGTTGGCGAGATGGCCGCTCTAAGTACTCGCCACCTATATGTTTGACGCGACTAAGCAATCAATACTATATGGACTTTCATGTTCTAATACACGAAAAAGATTAAGTGAGACTTCGGTCTCAACACCGCGGTGGTAGCCGATTTGACCTTCTTTTGGACAAAAACCTTGAAGAAAACAATAAATAAGTATCTGTCCCCGCGAACTGCGTTTCGAAATATAATTATCTTTACTTAGCCTACCTTTTGTAGCTTTAGTAGCTACATACTACCTAATATATGGAACATTTTAAAGTTTTTTAGGGTTTTCCAATTCTTCTCTCTATAAAACATTCTTCAGAGTTCAAAGAATAAATATTTAAAAAAAATATCGAATTGGTCCGCAATCCGAGAGCAGTGTTGGCCTAGTAGGTACAGCGTGCGACTCTCATCCCTGAGGTCGTAGGGTCAATCTCCGTGCACTATTCGCTCGAACGGTGCAGGAAAACATCGCGAGGAAACCGGCCTTAGACCCAAAAATTCGGTGGCGTGTGTCAAGCACACGAGAATGATTACGTACTAGCGTATAAGACAAATGATCATGAAGCAGATACAAAAATCCGAGGCCCAGACCTAAAAAGGTTGTAGCGCTAATGTTATTTTATTTTATTTTTTAGTTATTTATATACATTTAAACAATTTTATTAATTTACAAAGCAATAATCAAAATAATTGTAAGTCTATAAAAAGAAAATTAAAACAAATTTAAAAAGTTTGGTCCCTGCGGCAGTGTACCTTTAATGCTGGCAGAATTTCCTAGCTGCAGTGCGATCGTTGAGCGAGGAAAGCACCAGCTCTGGGGCATCGGTACTATCTACAAGGCGCTAACTTAAATCTTTAATTAGCGTCTCTTCCCAAGAGACTTCAAACTACAAAGGGAATAAAATCAAAGTTCTTTGGCCGCCCCAGCTTTTTTTATTGTCCGCGGCAGGTCCCCACAAGCATTATAATTATTTAATAGAATATAATTCTCTCAAATCTCGTGACTCAAAATGCATGAAAAATTCATATTTTTTATGAGTTCATAATATATCTTAAATCACCGAAACTATAAATTCATATTTTATTTATTTATTTATTAGAGCTTTATTAATTAATCCATACAATAATTGGTTATATACATGATTATTAGTTGTGTTAATAAGTTGTAAAAAATTAAGTTCGTTTTTTTAGCGGTGTAATTGCCCCTTTCAGGGTAAAAGCCTCCTCCATATTTTCTCCTTTGTTGAGATCTAATTGCCTTGTTTTAGATGATACGCTCTTACGCTGAAAGTGCATAATTTTAATTATTGTGACGTAAATTACGTATGGTGGCGGTATTACTATGGAGATGTCTAAATAAAACTCTTTGTTTGCTGGGTAACAACTGCCTTTAACGGTTTTGAAATATGAGCTTATAACTAACATAAACATAGGAGTAGAGGGGTTGCGACGGGAACAAAGACAAACTTGGTTCATCATCAGTATCAGTTCATAAATCTAAATGACACTTATGACTTAATGAGAATGTTAAAATAGAATTTTTAAGTGTTGTAAACACTAAAGGACTTATATTGGCTTAAGTGTGCGATAATTGTTTACATTACTTACAATATATATATGAAACTTAACTAATTTTGGGTTACATAACTCGTCGAGCGCTTTTTTATGATTGTCATGTTCTTCGGGCACATACGGGGCCAAGCCGGATTGGGGAGTATTTTGTTAGCGTGACAATTGTAATTGTTGTCTTTTCTTTGGTTTCCGCTATGCTGTTTTGTACAGTTAATTTAGAATCATAAACCGTTTGATTTTTCGATATAGGTGAAGAGAGCGCTCGATCAGAGCGAAGTAAAAGCTGGGAAGTCTTCTTAAAATAATAGTTAAGATCTTTTGTGAAAGTATCTCGCTGCTAATCTGAAGGGCTTACAATATATAGGACAGCAATACTAGACTAGAAAGGCACATTCCCGCGACTAGCCAAAGGGCGTCTTCTGCAAGCTTGGCCCGTCGTGCGGTGGTCAATCGCCGGATCTGAAGGACCACGCTTTCCCCGGTAAAGACGGTTTTTTCCCTAATCTGGTTTTAAGTTTGCTTTGCCGCTCGGGCGGCTTTTAATCAGTTTTTGAGGGTGATTAGAAAATCCGGATCCGTTAAAATGTGTGTAGCAGGTACAGGCTGACACCTGCTACGGGTCTAATCCTGCTACGAGAGAACGCTTGCTACGAGGCTACGTCTGATACGCGCCTAAGAATGCTACGGGCTGCTGCGATCTACGGGCCTACGCCTGCTACGGGCTTCGTCGGGTGGGCGTCTCTACGCTAGTGGAGCGAATAGGCGGTCCAGGTTTTATTGGTGGGTGTCTAGTTACGCAGTTTTTTTTACTTAACTTTTTTAATATCACGTTGTGAATTTGATATCACGGGTCACGTGACTCTCCGGAGAATAAGTAAACAATCAGGTACAAAGGACTGATCACCTACTTGCCTATTATTAAGCCTTATTTCTATTTCCAACCTAAACAAGAATATCACTCCTCTTTTTCGGAGATTATACATTTCTTTTTGTTTTTCGACACAGACGCGGTGGGCGAAGCCAGCAGCTAGTCTTACTACTAAGTACTATACTTTGGTAAATTACTGTAATTATTAATTGAGTACCTAGTATGTACGTAACACATTTTATTCTTACTTGTCTACTTTTTGCAGTGGTTGTTAAAAAGCTTGTAATATCTCCACTTTGACTTTGACTTAATGTTGGTTTTCTGACAGGAAGAAATATTTGCGATTCCTTCTCGTGAAAAGATATACTGATGCTTACTTAAGCCTGAAGTGTTTCTGTTTTTCTTTTTATTTCCACTTTCTTATGTTATTCTCAACTCTCTCTCTTCAATGAAGGTGTTCTCCAATAATTTTGATTCTATAATATTACATTAATGTAATATTATAGAATCACTTTCCTTTGTACACATTTAATTGCCCCTAAACCAATCACAATGATTTTAATTCAGTAATAAAAAAATTGTATTTAATCTATAAGCCAGCCTTGCTTTTTTTGCCAGCCAAGCCTTGATTTTTTAAAACGAATAGAAAAGAACAACTATAACAATACAGTCGCTATAATACACAATATTCATTGCAAAAAAAAAAGACAGCTTCAAACACTCATGAATAAGTACTTTTCAGATTTGGCGCCATTTTGATCTGTCAGTTTATCAGATGAATTGTAAACGAAATATATGCATTCCTATAACAGACACCATATAATGCGCAGTTTATGGAAATTATTAAAAAAAAAAATACGTAATAACCAAATACTAATATTGAATATTTTCTATATTATAATAATACCAAATAGTTATTATAGTGAGACATTTAAAAGAAAGTAAAATATTCAAAATATAATTTCTACTGTTTATAGTTAGGTTAAGGTGGTCTGTGGTCTGTCGTTCATATATTTTTGTTCACACAGGTGGCGCTATTCCAAATGAAAAGTTGTAGTCTAGATTTCACATGTCTAGATAGCGTTTTCCACATTTTCCTCTTAACTTTATAATTAAATCATTATATTTTCTATAATAAATAAAATAATAAAATAAAAAGCCTTTTATTTCCCAATTAATAAGGTACATTTCTCTATGTGGTTTTCTAAACCTTTGCAAAACTTAACAAAATCTATTAGTAAATGAATAAATATTATGACTATATTTCTATCATGCTAAGTATTATTATTTACAGTTTTTGATATTCTAATTATTGTATGGGAACCCCTCTTCAGATGAAGGCCTCTTCCAGCTTTTGCCAGTTTTCTCTGTTTTGCGCTATGTGCTGCAATTTGGGGCCAGCAATTTTTTTAATATCTTCTTCCCAGCGTGCGAAAGGTCGCCCTCTGCAGCGTTTTCCTTTAGGTCCTTTCCAGGTCGTAATTTTTTGTGTCCATCTGTCGTCTTTGAGCCTCGCAACATGCCCAGCCCACTTCCATTTTAGTTTTAGTGCGTGGTTTAATGCATCTATTGTTTTTGTTTTGGATCTTATCTTATGTTTTCTATAATATTCAATACCAAATCAATTTTTCGTTCCCAATCGGCCATATTTTAGTTTACAAAAACGTGATTTGAATGCATGTTTTTTTGAGGGATATGTTCAAGTTTTTAGAAAGGTCTATTGGAGGGTCCATAGTTACAGCCGTGGGTGGGTGGGTGTGATAGCCGCTCTAAGTACTCGCCACCAATATGTTTGTTTGTCGCGACTAAGCAACCCATATTATATAGACTTAAATACAAGAAAAAGATTAAGGGAGACTTCGGTCTCAACATCACGGTGGTAGCTCATTTGACCTTCTTTTGGACAAAAATCTTGAATAAAACATAAATTAGTATCTGTCCTCGCGAACTGCGTTTCGAAATATAATTGTTATCTTTACTAAGCCTACCTTTAGTAGCTACATACTAATATAATATGGAATATTTTTAAGTTTTTTAGGGTTTAAACTAGTTACAGGAGTTTTTCTAACCTGATAAAAACCTATCTGCGATCGACAATATCGCAATCCCGATTGACAAACTTGGCAACTTTGTCATTCGAGAATGATATTGCTGAAAACCTCGATTTTGATAAAATAACAAAAGAGTTCGCCGACAGAAAGGCTAGAAAAGTCAAATTTTATTAGTTTTTTTTTTAATAAATGGTAATTTCATTATATCTTTTTCCTTTTTTCATATGGGATTGAATTGCAGTTAGGGGGGCTCCGTATAAATATCGCCCATGGCGCTGGTAGTGCTAAAACCGGCACTGCCTTCTATGCTATCTTACTTTATAGTTACAACTAAAGCTAAACATTTAGCTTTTCAGACAACTGCTAGCTTCTTAAAAGAATGTAGTGATACTTGCAGTAACACTTCATTAAGTTTTAATAATTTAAATTAGATAGTGTGACAATAGAGGCAAACTCTAGCAATAATTTAGTACAACTCAGCTCAACACAAACATGTAATATTACTAACAACAACTGTTTAAACTTGATGCATCAAAACATGCAAGGTATGTTGGGCAAAGAATTAGAATTGGAGTTGTTTTTAAAATTGATGTCCTATGCTTTACCGAACATTGGCTTAGAGAATGCCAAATCATCTTTAACTTTGATCAGCACCAAGTTGCAAGTTCGTTTTGCAGATTGTCGGCGATTCATGGGGGCTCTTTGATTATTGTTTATAAAAATTTAAAGTATAAAGAGCGTAATGACATCGTGTGTCTGTATGTGGAACACTTTTTGGAAGTGGCCTGTATAGAGATTGAGAATTGCATTATTTTAAGTGTTTACAGACTTCAAGTGCATCTTACGATTGAAGAATGTACCATTGCTACCTTCGCACTTTTGCCATCTTATAGGTAGTTGATTGATCCCTTCGAACATCTATCAGGCCGCTAGTTGAACGGCGCTGTTTAGTAAAGAGGCTAGGCTGTTGATTGAACGGCTAACTATAGCTTAGTTTTGGTTGGTTGCAACGGATATATTTTCCGTTCTTTGATAGTTTACCGTATCGACGGGATGAACATTCAATGTTAGACAGATCCACCCACGAACATTTTGTATTGGAATTTTTGTCATTTTTTTTTTAAACACGTAAACATAGATTATATATTTAAAATAAACACGACCTCCATACAAATAAGTACCCCAAAGATGTGTTATAGATATAATTTGTTATTCATTTAATATACATAAGAACTGAGCTCGTATTTATGTACTTATTTAACTCGCTCGTACGGTTAAGGAAAACGACGTGAGGAAACCGAAATGTCTTAGCGAAGATCCGTGCAGGGACACAGAGAGGCCCAAAACTATTAAAGGTGGCGCCACTGGTTTTCTTAAATGTCACACAACATATAGAAAATGATTCCAAGGGTTACAAAGATATAAATGAATTAACTCAATTATATTCGTTTATAAATTAAAATAAATATACGATTTGGATTAATTCATTCAATTTTGAAGTCCATCAATCGTCTTTTTAAAATAGTATACCCACGAATGCCCTTTTTGGGCTTCGCAATGCTTCCCCCTATTCAAAAAAATAAAAGAGAGAGTCAAATCAGCTACTTCGGTTTGTGAGAAGAAATCTCAATATGCGTTTAAAGAATTGGTTTTTTTTTTATAATAATACCCATACATGACGAATTTATTCGACACATCCAGATGGTGCTGCTTTAAGGCCACACACCACACCGGTTCCCCGAGTAGCACGGACTCCCCTTTCATATTGCAGTAATATCCGTATATACCTTACTTCGTCGAAAAACTCTGTTAGCGCGTTTCAGACGGCGCGCTGTGATTGGCTGACGCGGAATTTACAATACGAACACTTTAAATAGGACGATTTGAAAAAACTAAAGTATCTATGGATTGGTACGTTTCGTTATTTTGTGTTAATCAGTTTGTTCTATGGTGTGTAAATTTGTTTTAATAGTATTATTATACAAGGCTCAAGTTACCTCCTATGAATACTGCTCACATCTCTGGGCCGGTGTCCTCCAACGTTTTACTGATCGCTTTGATTCTCTCTCTCTCTCTATGCAGACACATTGCGTATCCATGCGTATTCTACAATGTCTACTATGGACAGTGTTCTGAAGACAGCTGGGAATGATGACATGTTTTACTTAAATGGACCTTAATTCTAAAAATAAATACGTAAACAATTTATTTTATTTACACCGTGTTGCCGTAAAAGACACACATTCAGACGTTTTTGATATTTTCGTATCCAATCCACACTCTTTGCACTGAATCAAATATTAAAAATAAACTTAAGAAACATCGTGCAACGAACTTATTGCTACTAAGGGCAAACCTTATTAAAGAAAACACTACAACTTGCCAGCCAGTGGACTATGAAATTTGTGTTTAAATTTATAGTCCAAGTCAAAACCATTTATACATTTAGGTTACACAATGTACACTTATGAACGTCAATAAATAAATACATATTAAATGCTAAATTCTTCTAATTTTACATTTACTGCCAGTTCTCAAATCAAGGGCGTAGAACGGACGAGACGAACTGGCAATACACTCTCCGCCACTCTTTTTAATCACCAAGATTTTGTTTTACACAATGTTTGTAAGGAACTGCAATAATTACACTATGTTCCACATGAACTGTATGTTATAAATGCCAGGAGTATCTGTATGTTATATGTAGTTTATGTTAGCAACTACATACAACATACCTGCACTCGCGAGCCCTCTGGCATTGAGAATGTCCTCGGGCTATCACTTCAGATCCGGTAAGCCTCCTGATCGTTTCACCACTGTTATATAAAAAAATAAGCAAGATTTAAAAGTACGTAACCAATGACAATAGATAATTGTTTTTTGAGTGTTTTGGTATTTGGTTACATTTTTAGTAAAATTATTATATATGTATATGTATATTAAATCAATTACTATTGAAATAACGAAAGCATCCAAAACACTTGAAAACAAGTAAATTTATGAATTTATATGTCTATTTGGGTCACGAAACAAACTCAATTTTCGATAAAAATATTTTTGAGGCCTAAGTCAAAAAGGCCAACTTAGCATGGCTACTGTATACTTGTTAAAAATATTATGTAAACTATTTCTATTTTATTATAACGCCATCTAGTAGGATGTGTAGAAACTACTAAGACTTCAAATGTTTTGATTGAAATTGATACATTACAAATTATTTATTTTTACAAATTATTTATTTATTTATAATTACATAAATTTAAAAAATATACTGCTATTTATATTGTTAATACTTGCTTTACTATGTATAGAATGGCAACTATGAATGGCGCATGCGTCAACATTGTCAAAATAATATCCTCATAGTCTGTTAAAATACGATCAAAACAGGTGATAGTGAAATTTGCAAACAGATAAATTGATATTAAACTAATAAGGAAATACGAATTTTCACTGTCTTTGTCTATGGAATTATGTAAGTAAAATCTTCCCGCGTTTTTTCGGAATATATTACGTTTGTTTTGATTAAGTATAAAAACGTGTATTAAATCGATAATTTTTTATTTGAACAAATTAACGATTGTTAAAACATATTGTTAACAAATAGTAATCAAACGAATGTCAATAGTAAACCATCTTTGGATAAAAAATATATTTTAATTATAGGTACTATACATCTTATTGCAGAACAAGGCTGACTTATAAACGTTATATAATTTTTATTTTAAGTAATATCAGTTCTCTGTTAATTTAAATAATATTATAAAATTTCCTATTAATGTTTTTTTTCAAATAACATTTTTTTTTAGTTTTTCATTATGATATAATATGCAAAAAAGCAGTGACACTTGACGTTTCTCTGACTAGTTTTCGCGGGAAGATTATTTGATATTATATTATGTTTCTGTGCTACGATTTTTTACAGATTTTTATAGAATAAATAATACGCGAACATTAATAAAAATATCAAAATATATTTAATTGCACTTTAAAAAGATCATGCCTGCCTCTAAGTTATTTCAATATCGCTGTATATTTTTTAGAATTAAACATGGCGAATACCAACTCTAGCGCGGTATTTTTCTTGGGCACCAGGGCTCACTATCAGGTGGGTAATTTAATTATTCATAGCATTATTGTGTGTGTTCTATTTATCTGTTTTTAATTATTATTACGTATTGTAATATCATTTAAATAGGTACGTGTTAGGTGGTGTGACGCTGACGAGTCGCGAGTCAGTTCAACAGTTGTCTCCGGGCCCGGTTGCGCATTAGACGAGTGTTTATTAATAAATAACGGACATGTAATTACTCGTTTGATTAATTTATCATGGCCCATGAGGAGATAACACAATATTGGTGACCCCGACGAACACCGACCCCTCAAAAAATCTTTTCGGTGGTGCAAGTGACTTTGGTGAACTATTCAGTGGACAAATTAAGTGCCAATTTTGATGATGACCAGGACAGTTATCTCAGACTGCCGCCCAGCAGGGGCCACTGCAAATCAAGCCGGAGTTTAGTGATGTGTCGGCAATTTCTGTCACTAGCCGTATCCCCGAATTTTGGACTGACCAGCCAAGAGTATGGTTCATCAGAGCGGAAGCGGTACTAGGTCCTCAAAAGACTGCTGATGAAGCTCAGTTCCAGATTGTTGTGTCAAAACTGGGTAAAGAGGCAGTTAAAAAGCTCTTAAGAGTAGGTTGCTGACTATTTATGAGAAATCGGAGAATTGCCAGATACAAAGACTGATTGGCGAAATGGAGATATGCGACCAAAAACCGTCGCAACTTCTTCGCCGTATGCGCGATCTAGGACGGGAGAAATACCTGACTGATGTATCGACATTAAGGATTCTGTGGCAGAGTCATCTTCCCACTTCTGTGCGAGCCGTGCTAGCCGTATCGGAAACAAAGGATATGGATAATCTGGCCACTGTGGCCGACAAAATCATGGAGACTTCGCAACAGTCACAGATTTCTGAGTTTTCCTCGCCTCAACCAATACGGAGAAACTCACAACAGGTGACGATTTCACCTACGTTCAAAAGTTGCGGGGCATTTTGAACGATTTAAGACTTAATCCCAAGTCTCATAGTAATTCGTCTTTTTGTTCAGTCTGATCTGAAAGACTGACAGAAAAATTTATCTCAAAATAAAAATAAAAATTTAGAGGTGGACTACCCTTAACATTTAGGGGGATGAAAAATAGATGTTGTCCGATTCTCAGACATACCCAATATGCACACGAAATTTCATGAGAATCGGTGAAGCCGTTTCGGAGGAGTTTTACTACAAACACCGCGACACGAGAATTTTATATATTAGATTACCAAATAAGAATCTAAAGAAGTTAACAATCATGTGGCTTTGGCCCAGGCCCAGGTAACTACGGTGCAAGAGAGTGTAGAAAAAAAACTGAATACATTAGGAATTGTATTAATAATTATCACTTATAATACCACAAGAGCTTCAAAATTCGTCGTCAAGTTTTTCAAACTTGACTCCTTCATTTGTTTGCAACGAACCTATCGGGAAATACCAGATAATTTTGAAGCTCGTGTGGTATTCGGGGGATTATTTTTCCGACCCAAATGTCGGCCAATAGAATTGCACCATGAGACGAAATGTACAGTTAACAAATAAGAATTTCATAATGAATAAAACAACTACTTAATACTTTTCTTGAAGCAACTACCAGAGAAAATTTTCAAAAAATTATCAGTATAATACCATGTAGGTTGTACCACGTGACGTCGAATGGTGCAATTCTATTGGTCGATATTTGGGTCGGAAAAATAATCACGGTAATACTTGTCATCGTGGTTCTGTATGGAATAGAAAGATACTGCAGAGCCAAAAATGCAAATTGGTTGGGGAGACAAGTGATGCACGTTGCGCAACCGATACACGTGCAACAACTACCCTCTGTTGTGTAATTAGTGTAATTGTATTAAAGTGAAACTTTTATTACATCGTCTCAAACTTTTTCGTCTGTGTGTTGCATGTCGCGTGATGGTCGCGGAGTAGGGATAAAGTGAAAGGCGCTCGTCAAACTCAAACTCAAAGAATCTTTATTCAAGTGGGTAACCAAGTACACTTTTGAATTGTCAAGTTAAATTAATTGTAAATTTATATTTACTACCAGTTCGCAAGTCAAGGGCGTAGAGCGGGTAAGAAGAACTGGCAAGAAACTTTCCGCCACTCTTTTTAATCGCCAAGTATTGTTATACAAATTTTTGAACTGGAGCAAATCAATCCCAAGGATTAGGATCATTTAAGTATTCCTCAAATTTATAAAACGCTTTATTGATTAATTGCCGTTTAACGAGGGCTTTGAATTTATTTAGTGATAATTCTCTAATTTCGCTTGGGAGTTTGTTGTAAAAACGAATACAATTTCTATATATATATAGCCTGGTTGGTCGTACACTCAAATTAGTTCTATTTCGCGTATTATACTGGTGAAAGTCACCATTTGTTTTAAAATCGTTTATATTTTTTTGGACATACAACAAGGCTTCAAGAATATATTGACCAGATAGTGTCATAATATTTAATTCCTTAAACTTATTCCGTACCGACTCCCTCGGAGAAACACAACAAATACCCCGAACAGCCCGCTTCTGCAGCACAAATATGGATTGAACCTCTGCAGCAGCACCCCACAGTAAAATACCGTACGACATAACGCTGTGAAAGTAGCTATGATACACAATTTTAGCCGTGTCCTTATCAGTAAACTGTCGGATTTTCTTTACTGCATATGCTGCAGAGCTCAGCCTATTCGAAAGAGTCTCTATGTGTGGGCCCCATTGGAGTTTACTATCTATTGTTATGCCTAGAAAAACAGTTTTGTCAACAATGTTTAGTTTACTGTCCTTAATTTTCAGGTTACAAATATCTCGCTTTACGCTAGTAGTTATAAATGTAATACATTTTGTTTTATTTTCATTAAGCAGTAAGTTATTTACATTAAACCAGTTAACTATACGAGAGATAGAATTGTTTACATCGTCCAATAATACGTTATTCCTATTCACTTTAAATAGAAGTGAAGTGTCATCAGCAAGCAATACCATCTCATGAACTTCGTTTCTTCTTTCCTTCGAGTCATAGCAGCCAAGGCCAATATGGCTGCGCCTATAGTTCGCAGCAGCTGACCGTGTAGTGTATAGACTATTATTTAATATGTGTATATAATCTAAATTATTGTTAAGTATTATGTATTTCGTACTCTCTAAGACACAGAGTTCAATAAAAATATTAGTTGGAGACTTAGTCTACTTTTATTATTTCCCATTATCATTCCAATTTTCCAAGTATAAAATTAAGATTGACAAAGCGATTTTTATACCCTTAATGGAATATTATTCCAAAATTTTTTAGTTAAATGTATATAATGTGAAAAAAAAGTTTCACTTTTGCCGTGGTTTCATAAAACCACACAATCCTTTTTTTTATGTGTAATGTTTATTAATTAATAAATGTAATGTGTAAACAGGAAATTTAAAAAAAATGTTTATTATGTAATATGTGTAATGTGTAAACAAAAAATATTAAATATCATGTAAAAGTTTTTTTTTAAGGAGGGGGATGTTGTGGGGACAGCTGTCGACGTGTGCAAACTGCAAATTACGAGTCGCGCGTCAGTTGTTTCCGGTATGCATGTGTCGTTCGCTCGATCTGAAAGATCTGAATCAATACTGAGCCATTGACAAAAAGATCTGGTTCGTTCGACCCGTTCAATCGAACGACTGATTCAATTTCAAACGAACTGAAGGATATTTCTAACTGTTGTAAAACAACTTCGGTTCAGACTTCAGAGAGAACAACACGTGCTCGTGTACGTGGTTCTCCCTCCAGGATGAGACTGAGCTCAAGTTACTAATATTAATAAATATTTTCCAGGTCTTAGACCCAGAGACTTACGACAGTGGAAACACTTCCACAGAGACGTTGTGTCAAAATGATGAACAGCTGTGGAAGGACCAGGATAACGAGAGCCCCAATTGTAATCAATCCGGGTGGTGCTACGGGTCTGATATAAATGGTAAGTCAATATTTTTATTCGATGTTTTTATGTGAATAAATAAATTTACAAAAATACACCTTCTTGGTTAGGGTTAAGGTTGGGTTAAAAGAATAAAAGAACAGTACATCTTCCTCACTCCAAAAGTATCCGCCAACTGCCAAAAATTAGATTCCTTTTTAAATAAAAAAACGTGTGTGCTTATGTACATGCGTTAGAAGTTATAATTCTTTGGCGTAACATAAAAATCTTTATAAAATTTTTATTCTATGTTTGTAGAAAACTACACTAACAATAGAAAAAAACTAAAATGTTGTCTATAGCTAACTTCAGGGTGTCGGTTTTTTTAGACCGTGCGCGCATCGTTAAAATTTATTCTCATCATTTTTCCCTAACGCGCCAAAAGAATAACTTCAAAAACTTCTTCTTCTAAGCCCCTCCTTCGTAATGAATATAAAGTAGAAACCTTTAGGCCTCTATTTTACAGTGAACTTCGACACAGGCGTGAAGAAAAGATTGAACAGACATGATGAAGCGGTTTCTGACATAAAACCTGCTCTTTTGAATATGTCACAAGAGAGGTAAGTTTTCTTTTATTTGCTTTATATAATTTTCTTTTCTTAGTATCTTAGTAACTAGAACTATACGGCGTTTATCTGCTACTTTTAATTATTTATTCAGGGCCTTGCCGGTACAAAAAATTAGCATAGACATAGCATTTATTCCTAACAAAAACACACACATATAAAGACACATAATTTTTTTTTCCCTTTTCCCATTCTGTTCGTTTTAAGTATGTAATGCGTGTGTGCTGTGGTTGTAATTGGCCCTGGCTCAGCATTATGCTGAGGAGCAGACTGTTCCGCAGAGCTGGTCATTCTGCCAGAGACCACAGCAGTTAGTTTTTGCCTCACACGAAATTGTGAGAACGTCACAAAAAAAGAAAGAAATGTAATAATACTTAGTAGGAAAACAAATAATAATATAGTAAAAGTTAGCAGTATAAGTAATGAAGTCTTGTGTAAAGTTTTATAGTAAATTAAATTAAAAGTTAAAAATAAGAATAATTGTCTTTTTTTTTTGGGCGGATTAAATACTAATATTAATGGAAATATTAATATATTTTACAACAATCTTCCTATTTTGTGTTTAAGAGTGTCTTTTTGAGGTTTAAGTTTCTACTTAGTTTTTGTTTTTTTGCTGTTTGCTTGTGTATAATTGTTTCCTTGATGAGTTCGGTGGCGGCTGTTGGATTGAAGTTCAAATAAATGAAACTCTTTGTTTGAAGTTGGGTGTCAACTATAATCGTTTAAAACAATGATTCCCAAAGTGGTCTATATCGACCCCTAGGGGTCTATGACAACCTGCAAGGGGTCTACGTTAGCGAAAAAAAATTTGGGGGTCCATTAAATGAAAATGGGGGTCCACGATAGTGGATCTCAACACATACACTGATAGAGGAAAACAGACATCGCCTATTTAACAGATTTGGGTACAAAATTTAATATGGTTAATTTGCAATTACAAGGTGACAGTTTAAATTTGATTAAAACAAAGTCCATCTTATCAGCGTTTCTTGCCAGAGTTAAACTAATATTACTATATAACTATGAAGCAAAATATTGGACGGGGCGAATTTTCTCAGTTGGGGAACTTGTTACTTTAAGTTTTTAACACTAAACTTCACTACAGTTAGAAATTTACAGGAAATCAATATCAGGTAAGTACCTACCTATCTACCCAACACGGAAAAACATGGCAAGGGGTCTACGACACAAAAAAGTTTGGGGAACTCTGGTTTAAAACATGGGCTTATAACTAATAACTAACTTGACTTATTTAAGGGTTATTAAATGTAAGTAACTGTTAACTGTAAAGAATAGAAAAGAATAGAATATAAGTGTAATCGTAATCTGTTTACTTTGGCTTCAAATGTGCGATTGCTATTTGATTTGAGCTTTAATTATAAATTAAAATAGATAGAAACTCTTGTTAGAAATTTTTATGTCTAATATAATCTATATGTATGTATGTACAAAATAAAAAATAAAAAGTACAGAAAACACAAAAAAAATACAATTTATACAATAACGATACGAAAATATAACAACAGAGAGAAAAACGTATTAGACCTTATAAATAACATTAAGGAATTCAATATTATGACACTATCTGGTTAAAACATAGCGATTAGAAAGAGTGGTAGAGAGTTTCTTGCCAGTTTTTCTTGCTTTTACGCCCTCGACTTGCGAACTGGTAGTAAATGTCAATTTAGAATCGATTTAACATATTTTATGATGGAGTTCATAAGTGTACTGAATAAAGTTATTTTTAGTTTATGGAGCCAAGAATCCACATCCCAAATTTATGGGGAATTAAGATGTCTTGGGATGAGCAGTGTTGGCCTAGTGGCTTCAGCGTGCGACACCACCCCTGAGGCCGTAAGGTCGATCTCCGTGCAACAATGGACTTTCTTTCTGTGTGCGCATTTAACATTTGCTCGAACGGTGATGGAAAACATCGTGAGGAAACCGAAATGACATAGACCCAAAAAGTCAACGGCGTGTGTCGAACTCAGGACGCTGATCACTCACTTGCCTATTGGATTGACAAATGATCATGAAACAGATTCAGAAATCTGAGGCCTAGACCTAAAAGGCTGTAGCGCCACTGATTATTATTAAGATGTTCTTTACAAAATTTATTTAGGGCGTATTATATACGAGATTTTTTTTCTCTAGAAAAACGCACGATTCTGTTTATATATCACCCAACCAACAAACTTGACCAATATAAACTATTTGAAACTATATGAAATATGAAATGAATTTCGTTTTGAGATGCATATTTAATATTACGTCTCAAACAGAGTGCCCAACTTTAAGTTTTTACTTAAAGTTAGCATCACTGGGGTTAATGGGTTCAAAAGGCTGACCAGTTAAGTGACACCGCCCATGGAATGCGTTGAATTGCGTTGTCGGTCTTTTAAAAATTTGTACTGTAAGACGAATTGGTTCAAAAAAAATTCAGTACGAATTTAATTGTTTTTTAATTAATCAAAAAATTTAATTAATCGCATTTTCAATTTCCAGTGATCTTGAGAAAGACAAACCACGTCGCAAGTTCCTCTCTTTTCTCTCATCTCTTGGCGTAAGAGACGGAGTAACGTGCAGTACCTGCAGCACCTGGAGAACGTTCTGACCACCTGTACCTATAGAGAGAGTTGCAGGTGCCTGGATTGTCAGGTAAGTTGAAAATATACGACGTAATTTTTTTTATTATGTACCACAATGTTATATTGTTATGTTATTGATATGAAGCCAGCATCTAGGTTTTTTTGTTTTTCTTTTGTTATTTAAAATTACAACAGTCGCTGCCGCAGCCAGCAAAACGTCCTCTCGTGTCGACATTGTGGATAGCACTGGAGAATAGGGATGTGAAAAAATAATCGATTATTAAAAAAATCTATTAAAATCGTATTTTTATATTTAAAATAATCGATTATTGATCGATTATTTTTATAATTGAAAATAAATCATAGTCGATTTTTCTACTGCCACCTCCCGACATTATGTTTGGTCTTTTATAACCCGGACCTCGAACTATTACGGATATTTGATATACATCGATGTTTAGAATGCGATACATTGAATACGATTTTTTGAAGATGTATTGATATACTCGATGCATTGTTGTTTTTTTGTAAAACATCGAAAGAATGATAAAACCAGTTAATTTTAGGTACAAAGACTCAAGTTTGAATGGAACACTATAATTTAAAAGTAAAATAAATTTATTCAGCAGCACAACATAACATACAATTAAAAAGACAACAAAAATACTGCAATTTGCTGCTGAAAAGGCATAACTAAGCATTTATCAAATTTCACCTAAAATCTATCAAAACGAGATTAAGTTAATTTCGATTTTGATTATTCTTAAACGTTAATTTGTGTTTATAATTTCTATTGTTTATTTTTCAGTAAAAAAAACCATGAAAAATAAGATATTTAGGGTGATTATTTTGAAATTAATTCAAAAATTTGGAAAAAATCGATTAATAAAAAAATCGATTATTTTTAAAGAAAAATCGATTATTTATTATTTATTTACAGCCTTATATCAGAAATACTAAATATATACATTATAATTGTTATTTTTCTTAATCTACGATAACTGATTCTGTGTGCCTACGGGCAAAGGCCTCCCCCATTGTCCTCCATTTTTCCTTATTGTATACCAATCTCGTCCAGGTTTTAGTCTTTCCTGCCATTTCCATGATTTCATCGGCCCACCTTTTAAATTGCCTACCTCTGTTTCTTTTATGGCCTCTTGGTTGCCATATTTATTAATCGATTAATAAAAAAAATCTATTTTTTTATGCAGAATGTCACATCCCTACTGGAGAACGACAAACGACAATGGTTATATAACATTGTTATATTGCATTGTTATTCTAATGTGTACAGTATTGTTTTATGTTATAATGTTAAATAACAAGGTTACATAATGTGGACGTGTTATAAAACACAAGTTATATAACATGTTACATAGTCTGTACGCACCCTAAGACTGCTACAGGCTGACACCTGCTACGGGTCTAATCCTGCTAAGAGAGAACGCTTTCTACGAGGCTACGTCTGCTACGCGCCTAAGAATGCTACGGGCTGCTGCGATCTACGGGCCTACGCCTGCTACGGGCTTCGTCGGGTGGGCGTCTCTACGCTAGTGGAGCGAATAGGCGGTCCAGGTTTTATTGGTGGGTGTCTAGTTACGCAGTTTTTTCTACTTAACTTTTTTAATATCACGTTGTGAATTTGATATCACGGGTCACGTGACTCTCCGGAGAATAAGTAAACAGTCAGGTACAAAGGACTGATCACCTACTTGCCTATTATTAAGCCTTATTTCTATTTCCAACCTAAACAAGAATATCACTCCTCTTTTTCGGAGATTATACATTTCTTTTTGTTTTTCGACACAGACGCGGTGGGCGAAGCCAGCAGCTAGTCTTACTACTAAGTACTATACTTTGGTAAATTACTGTAATTATTAATTGAGTACCTAGTATTTACGTAACACATTTTATTCTTACTTGTCTACTTTTTGCAGTGGTTGTTAAAAAGCTTGTAATATCTCCACTTTGACTTTGACTTAATGTTGGTTTTCTGACAGGAAGAAATATTTGCGATTCCTTCTCGTGAAAAGATATACTGATGCTTACTTAAGCCTGAAGTGTTTCTGTTTTTCTTTTTATTTCCACTTTCTTATGTTATTCTGCAACTCTCACTACTCCGACTAGAGCTATTTGAACCTTCGTCACTCATATTAAATTGTCAACATTCACTCCGAAAGCAATAAGCATTTAGAGTACCTAGCTAGGTAAATGGGCGAGAACAATAAATAAGATAGACTCAAAGCGAAGCTCAATTGGAAATTACTGAAATTGAAATAAAAACTCATATTTATAAGCACAAGCCGAAGACCGACAAAGGAAAATGCGGCATTCTTTGATAGATAGAATAAATCTTTGAAAGATTAAAAAACAGAAGTATCAGAATCAGAATCAGATAGGTTTTGTGCCTACGCAAAAATAAAGTGTAGATAATTATGCAAATAATATTGTTTATTATGTTCCTCTTTTATTGGAACTAGGCATGTTCCGTTCCGGTAGGTTGCCTGCTGTTTTTATGGAGGTTACTCGCTACTAGAGTAGGTACGATAGAAGTTGAAAAACCGACACTGCAAATCTCGATTTTTTGGAAGTGTGTGATTTTAAAACAAAATGCGTCAAGCAATATGACGTCGCTCATATTTAAAGTATTTCCACGTTTCAAGTTTGTTAAAATCACCCACTTCCAAATTTGCAGTGCAACGTCCTTTAAAAAAGTATAATAGGTATAAAATAAATATATAACATAAACTAGGTATATTATTATTACTACATTTTTTATAATATCTACCTATCCTTACGACTACAATCTTCCTTGCGAGGACAACATAATCTATTTGTGTCCGTTCTGGGCACCCGCAGACTTATTTTATTCTTTGGGACATGGGCAATGGCGGCGACCTTTGACATGAAAACGACGGCGGCGACACAAAGTCTAGGAGCGGACTAAATTTTTACCTATTTTGGTAGGGTTGTCAATGTTGGCATTAGCACAGAAAAATAAAATTAAGTAAACACAACGTTTATCAACTTTTAAATGTTTTCAAGGTATTGTTTTGTTCGGAGAATAATGCTTTAATGTCATTTTTTAATTTTCTTAAAGAAGTATGTAAATAAAATAAGCCAATAAAAGTCTGTATTTCATTTCATAATTAGAATATTACCGAATGAGATTATATAAAAGATATTAAACATTAAGGACACAAAATTCAAAATTTTAATACAAATATTTTAGAAGACGGAGCTTAACAGATCCATGCAAGTTCCAAACGTAATGTGTAACAAATCTAATAGGCGGCGCTGAAATAAATTGCCATATATTGGACATTATACACATATATGTACTGTATATAATATATATTTCATTACAGCGAAGAGTAACCTACCATGTAATCCAAGCTCTTGAAGTAGTGTAAAAAATCTAACAGATAGCGCTTTTATAAATTCTCTTAACATTAAATAATTCAGTAACATCCAAAATATGTAAAAAAGGAACTTGCAAGGTTACTGTACCACGAAAAGTTGTTTAATAAAATTCCAGGTCTCACCATAGTATAATACAAATCTAATAGGTGACGCTGAAATAAATAGTATTGTATTTGGGATTAATATCTCTCTTCTTTATGTAGTTAAATAACACACACTTCCTTAAAGAAGTTTTGTAACTTAGAATTCAGCCACAACGAAACAAAACAAAAATAGAAAATAATTATGCTACTTAGAGAGCTATAAATGACGACTTTGTGTATGAATATCCCTAAGCTATGTTTATTTATTTGTTGATTTATTAAAGTTTACCACATATAATGCTATATCTGCAGTATATGTTAATATGTTAAACGTTATTGTTACAAAAAGTATAAATATTACACTTCCAATTTTAGATTTTACAGCGAATTAGGTATCACATAGGCATTTAACAATGCTTTTTTAAAAATTATCAGCTCAGTACCGAATATATCCAGCTCTGGAATAGTGTTTATTCTGTTGTGAGGAAGTCTAATGTGAAGTGCCTGAACTCAAGAGTTCATATTCACATTCGACTTAGGGTCCAAGGATAGAGCATTGGCATTAAGAGTGTCCATGGACGGTTTCACTTAACATCAGGTGAGCCTCCAGTTTGTCCTCAGTTTGAGTGAACAATATTTCTTGTCACTTGAAGAACATTAAAATAAAAATACATTTTAAAGAATTTCGAGTCAACTCGAATTCAATTTAAATTTAAGGATTATAAATACATAGTAATATTATTGTATTTTTTTAATGTGTTATGTAACCATTAATTATATGATATACTTGTTTCATATATTATTCACTATGGAAATAAAGAGGCACCGCTGTTTATAAATAGTGATCAGAGATGTCGCCACATGTAATGTGAAACGCGCTTACAAAATAACTTCGCTAAAAGATATATAACAAAATTATTATCTAGTATACAGTAATGGCTCATATACACATATATATGAATTTTTGGACTGATCTATTCACCATGCGAATTAATCAGCTATAATGATTACTATCACTTTATAAAACCGAGTGAAGTTTGGTGGCGATTGTTGAAGGGATGTTCAGATAAATGTCTAAATGAAACAGTTTATTTGAAGCTAGCCGCTAGGCCAAGGTGTCAACTGTCTTTATTCATCCCTGAGGTCGTTGGGTGATGGGTCGATCTCCGTGCACTATTCGCTGGAACGGTGAAGGAAAACATCGTGAGGAAACCGGCTTGCCTTAGATCCAAAAAGATCTCGTGATCACCTACTTGCCTATTAGATTGACAAATGATCATGAAACAGATTCAAAAATCTGAGACCTAAAAAAGGTTGTAGTGCCACTGATTTATTTTTTATCGAATTGTTCCAGCCATCTTTAAGTTTTGCGCTGATATATATATAGTTACAATTAATTTATGATTTTACGAAATACAATTTATATACATGTATAAATATTAAGATTTCAAATAGAATATATTTAATTAGTCAAAGTATATGTACCATTGCTATTTACGCACTTTTGCCATCTTATGGGT